CTAGAAAGGGATTGATGGACCCCCACCATAAAAATGGAAATCTTAAAAAAGATTGGTATGTGACAAAAAATCCACATACATGTATCAAGGACATAGATTCTTTAGGTGATAAGATAACAAACTATAATCCACTTTTTAAATCAAAATAAATGTTGTTAAGTTAAAAGTAATGATAATCGAAAGAAGTTATTTTAAATTAAGGAGATACCCACTTCATAAATACATTAATTTACCAAAATAAAGTAGTTGGTACCATAATATATGTAATTGGTAATAATGTAATAAGTGTAATTTTTACATGTCCACTTTTTACAGTGGTTATTAACTACTACTTGTAGTTTGATAGTTACTATACTTATAGTTATGTACTTTATGTCCGTTATTATCCAATACCCTAAGTACATAACAAACCGAAAATTATATATCGATACTTCGTTATTCTAAATATTTCGGTATTTTGTTTACACAGTAGTCGGCATTATCTGTTATTAATTTGTCTCGTTACTCTTGATATTAGCCGCGCTCTTTTAGCAAATTTTGTTTAACCGAATAATCTCATCGCACACTCAGCAGAAATGACGTTAAGTCTTAATGCCAATAAGATTTGTTTAGTTGGATTCCTCCTAACTAAATTATAATGAGTAAAAAATTGAATTGAAAGTGGCTGTCCTTAATAGTAAGTATTATATTTTTTATTAGCTAAGGTGACATATTTTAAAAAAAAATTTGATACAATATTACTGTCGGCATCGCAATGCAAGATTATTTTGTGATTAGAGGGGGCTATTCTCAAAATCTGGACAATTAATTTCAGAGCGAAGAAGTCGTCTGCTGGGAAAGAATGTACAAAATATTTTATTTTTACAATGTAATTATGTCCTCTGAGTACGTGTCAAATGTGGCAAGTGTTCTTTTAATGAATATTTTGATTCGGTGTGTATGTTTATAATGCACATAAGTCCAGTTTTTCAAATTTTTATTACATTTTTTTGCATCTCATAGTCTTTAAGCGTATACCCGAAATACTGTACTCTCTAAAAGGACACTCTAACAGGATACTCAGTCCTAACTGCAAGACGCAAGAGTCTTGCAGGCATAGTCTTGTTCTTGCTTAAATCTTGCATGGTCAGTCTTGGTCTTGGTCTTTCTAAAATTGGGCAGTCTTGGTCTTGGTCTTGCGAAAACGCAAGAACAAGACCAAGACTGCAAGACCAAGACCGATTTTGAGGCATCTTTCTAAAATTGGGCAGTTTTGGTCTTGGTCTTACGAAAACGCAAAAACAAGACCAAGACTACAAGACCAAGACCGATTTTGGGTAACACTAGTTGAAAGACGCCAGAATTCGTGGCTGAAAGACTCGAGGAGATGGTTTGACCGCTTATCCACAGAAATCTTTCGTACAGCAATTTCCAAAGCTACAATTGCCATTTAGATCGTCAATCTTTGAAAGGAGACGATACGATAAGAAGAAGAAGCCGATATTATAACAATAACGCTAAGAATAACAGTGATAACACTGCAATTTTATTAATATTTTTCTAAGCAACACAAAGAATGTTAATTACGATGACGAATAGACAAAACGTACCAAATATTCTTATAATATAAACGAATGATATTTAAGATTATTGAGATCAATATCTTAATCAATAAAAGATTAATCTATAAAGCGAAAAGAAATAAGAAAACACGAAGTCTTGTTAATTACTAAAGATGAAATTTCAGATAGAAGATCTTACAACAAACAAACAATATGGTAGCAGATATGTGGTACTATCTATCTATAAAGCCCTTGCTGTCCAGTTGTGGACATAGGTCTTCTCTTCCTTCTTCCACGTCTCTCTATTGTAGGCAGTTTATATCCACTTCGGACCTGCGTGTTTCTTTAAGTCATTTGACCATCTCATTTGTGGGCTTCCTCTTTTTCGTTTGTAACTATATGGTCTCCAGTGTACAATCATCTTATTCCATCTGTCGTCTTTCTGTCTTATGATATGTCTAGCGAACTTCCACTTAAGCTTTGCTATCTGCGTTGATACATCGGTCACTTTTGTTTTGTTGCGGATCCAAGTATTTCTTTTCTTGTCTGATAGCCTGATGTTCAGCATTTGCCTTTCCATGGCTCTTTGGGTCTTTGCTATTTTTTCCACGTTTTTCTTTGTAAATGTCCAAGTTTAGAAGTACCGTAGGTACTTTAGAGAACCGTAGGTGAGAACAGGAAGTATACATTGGTTGAAGACTCTTGTTTTTTAAATATTGGGCTTCTTTTTCTTCTTCTTCGTCTAGCCATTCACGTCCACATCTGAACATAAGCCTCTTCAAGTCTTCCTTTCCATTGTTTTTTATTGTACGCTACTTGTTACCAATTTTTCCCGGCAGTCCTTTTCAGATCATCTGTCCATCTCATAGGAGGTCTGCCTCTGGATCTTTTGTGTTGGTATGGTCTCCAGGTTCAAATTGATCTGTGCCATTTGTTTAGATCGCTCCTAGCTACATGTCCAGCGTATTTCCATTTCAACTTTAATGATTTTTGCACCACATCGGTGACTTTGGTTTTCTGTCTTATCCATCTGTTTGTTTTCTTGTCCTTAAGTGATATACCTAGGATTGCTCTTTCCATCGCGTGTTGAGTGATATACCTAGGATTGCTCTTTCCATCGCGTGTTGAGTGACTCTAAGTATATTCATATTCTTTTTTGTGATTGTCCATGTTTGTGCCGCATAAACTTTAGATCTAAGATGCAATTGAATTTGTTGATTTCTGAGTATATAGTTCAGTTTACCGAATGCTGCCCAAGCCAACTTTCTCCTTCTTTTTATTTCTTCAGTTTAAATTTCCCTATTTAGGATTATTTTTTATCCAAGTGTATATAGTCTTCAACTTTTTCTATAACTTTATCGTTTATTATTGTCACGGTGTCTTCGGAGTGCATGACTTTTGTTTTGTTTAAATTCATTTTCAGTCCTATTTTAGAAGATTCGGTATGTAGTTCTAAAAGCATGGTTTGCATTTCTTGTAGGTCAGTAGCTATCAGGATTATGTCATCTGCAAATCGTAGATTACTGAGGTAGCGGCCATTGATGTTTATTCCCTTATATTTCCAATTTAGGTTTTTAAAAACGTCCTCCAAAACTAAGGTGAACAGTTTGGGTGATAAAGTATCTCCCTGTTTGACTCCCCTGTTTAATGGTACAGGGTTCGTGTGTTCATTTTCATTTAGGTAGTATGTAGCTGTAGCTTGGTTCATAGTTTCTTTTATTAAGTTAATATATCTGCTGTCTATTCTACAATTTTGCATTGCGTTTATTACGGCCGTGTGTTCTATGGTATCGAAAGCTTTTTCGTAGTCTACAAATGCTAGGAAAACTGGAAACTTGTATTCGTTACATTTTTCTATTAATATTTTTTTGGTTAACAGGTGATCGGAAGTTGAATAGCCTTTTCTAAAACCTGCCTCTTCATATGGTTGGTATTCGTCAAATTTCCTTGTTAGTCGAGTAGTTATAACTTTGGTGAGTATTTCAAACAGGTGTGACAGTAGGCTGATGGGTCTGTAGTTTGCCAATTTTCGACTATCACCTTTCTCGTGTAATAAGATTACTTTAGAGTTGTTCCAGCTCTTGGGGACTTTGCCCTGATGTAAACAACTGTCCACAAGCTTAGTTACAATTGTAATTAGTTCCTTACCTCCTTCTAACATCATATCTGTGGTAATACTATCTTCTCCTGCAGCTTTATTTCTCTTCATGTTTTCCAATGTTGTAGTTACCTCTGAAATTGTTACTTTTGGCATTATTTCTGATCCAACATTTTTTATTAATTTCCGTGCTGGTCTCATCTCATCATCTTGTTGATGTGATCTGTAAAGTTCTATGTAAAATTCTTCTATTCGTGTCAGTATGTTTTCTCTACTTGTGATTTCATTTTCGTCTTTTCCTATTAATGATATCATCTGACGTCGTCCTAGTGTCGGTCTGAGGCATTTCATACTCTTATTTTTTCAATAGTTGTTGTTATTAATTTTTCGTTTTCTTTTCTTTTTCGTTGTCTGATTCCTTTTCTAATCTGCTTATTAAGTTTTCTATATTCGTCGGTTCCCCTTTTGTTAGATTTATTTAAGATCTTCCTTCTTTCTATTTGTTGTAATAAATATTGGGCTTATTTTCTATTTTTTAGTATACAGGAAAGTTTTTCGAAGGATACCCAAGCCAACCGTGTCCTTCTCTTTGTTTCTCCGATCTGATTTTCTTTATTTAATTTAACTAGTTGTCCCAAATATACATATCTATTCTTTTACTTGTTCTATAGTTGTTTGTGCAATTGTAATTATTAATTCTTTTGGTTGGTTGGTCATAATTTTCGTTTTATTATAATTCATTTGTAGACCTATGTTTGTTGATTCGCTATTTAATGATGGATGAATATATGATGGATGAATTAAATTGCGAATTAAAAAAAATGTGGTACACTGCTAGAGTAATATATACATTCATACATATCGTTCAAGATGCATAACACATAAAATTTGCCTTAAATAAAAAAAATTTTTAATTTGTAATAAATATCGCTTCACAAATTACCTTTTATAAAAAATCTCCTCAACCCTACAACGAGATGCGCAAAACCCACACAAAAGCAAAAAAATTAATCACATTAAACACTTTAAATAATCATTTTCCGCCAATTTTCCAATGTCAAAAGTCCATTGGAATACATTTTGAAAAGGGTGAGTAGGTGGTGCTTACAAACGATGTAGGAGGAGTTTAGCGAAAACGGGGTTGAACTGTGTGAGGGATGCTGTGGTTGGAACAACTTATATCTTTAACGTTTCTGGTTTAATGTTATCTCTTCTCTTTAGCAGATCATTTAGGGAAGTATTTTGATGGACAAAAAGTGATTGTAATAACAAAAAAAGTTTTTATTTAGAATTTGTTTGAAGGTTATTTCAAGATTTGCTAATGTTTTAAATGATGTGTAGTGTTATTATAATTATTTGAAATGCAGGAACATAAATCGTTTTTAATTAAAGACTTATTAGGGGATGTTATCAACAACAGCAATTCCAATGAAAGTAAGTAAATGTGTGCAAATTAATTTTTTTAGTCTATAAAAATTTAAAAACTGGATGGACTAATTTAATAATTGTGCATGTGTTTAAAACAACAAAAAAACTACTAAATATATTTAAATAAAATATATGAATAGACTTAATATCGCTAGTGTAATTCTAATACCTCGTATCCCAGAAAACACAACTTTTCAGGGGAGTTAAAAACATTCCTAATGCTAAAAAAAACTGAATGATTGCTTCGTACTTTTGCTCATTTGGATTATTGAGTTCAATCAATTATTTATTTTTGATTTTTGTTTGAAAATTAATGTGATTAATTAAGTTGGGTTACGAGTTATTGAATAAAAAAAGTTGCAAAAAACTGTGGCTTACGAGTTATTTATGTTCTATAGTCAGGGAACATTTCACATTACCTTCAAACAAAAAGTTATTAATATTTGTATAAAAATAGTACAAAAGTAATTATTATTCAAGAAAATGAACTTAAAAAATAGAAGTTTACTATTCAGTAGTTACTGTTTAAAAATAGATCATGATATAAAAAAATTATAATAATGAAAGTCGGGATAAAAGTTCAAATTTCAAGTTGTCGTAAAAATGTCGATACTCAATAGGTATAACTTTTTTTTTAAGATAAAAATACGTTTACTGACGTTTCAATTTCCACTTCGGAAATCGTTCTCAAAATACAAACAATAAATTAAACAAATTTTGTTTTTTTGTTACATAGTGAAACATTTTTCTAATAATTTAACTTTATCTGACTCATTTATATTGACAATTCAGACATACATTATGCATTTTAAAGTAGACGACTTTAAAATGATATTGCTAATATTATTGAGTTGCGCTCCTGGGACGACTTTACTTATAAGATAGTTCATTCGATTACATGAAATCAACTTTAACTTGAGAATATCCGTCAGAAAAAATCATAGCATGTAATTTGTCTTTAAAAAGACAAACACATGACATGATGATAGTAAAATTCTCCTGTTAGTGATTTCATAGTAAATTATGAGAGAAAAACCAGGAAAAAAAAACCTCATAATACTATCCCGACATGGTAAGTATTTGTTCGTGCATTTAGTTTACCTTCAATAAACACCAAAATTCTGATTTTATATGTTTCGTTATTTAAAAAACATCAATGATGCATCCTCAATATGTTACTAACTTAGATACTAATACTGGTATTTTCTTATTACTTATATATTACTTTATTATTATTACTATATATTACTTATATTTCTTATTCTTTCAATATTGGTAACCAGATCCTACTACATTCTGCCGAGAAATTTGCGACACAATTGGCCTCATTTGGCATAATTAGAGCCGCTTCTTTGATTTTTCTTTTTTTACATTTTACATTTGAATTATTCCATTGAACCCTATGTTCATTATCCCATGCGTGTTTACATATTTGAGATCTATCAAATTCTCTATTTTTAATATAAGATTGATGTTTACTTATTCTAACATTTAATGGCCTTGATGTTTCACCTAAATAAAACTGATCGCATTCACAAGGTATTTTATATTATTAACTCAACAATATTGGCAATATCATTTTAAAGTCGTCTACTTTAAAATGCATAATGTATGTCTGAATTGTCAATATAAATGAGTCAGATAAAATTAAATTATTAGAAGAATTTTTCACTATGTAACAAAAAACAAAATTTGTTTAATTTACTGTTTGTATTTTGCGAACGATTTTCGAAGTGGAAATTGAAACATCAAAACAAGGTATAACTTTTTTAAGTTGCTGCAAGTGTTCCAACTTTTCGTTTTTTATGCTTGTCGCCTCTTTGTACATTGATGGCCAGTGAGCCGGTTCCTTAACTTGCTTTACTCTTTGAGGCAGCGGTGCCCACTCAGCATCAAAGTCTATTTTGTATTCCATGGTGCCCGTTGGCAGGTATCGCAGTGCTCTTAAGTCCATTACCACGGGATCATGGAGCACCAAATAATAAATAATATTATAAAAAAAGAGCATAACAAACTAAAACAAACTTAAAAAATAGTAAAATTAAAATGTATAAACCAAGCTTAACTCCAACGTACCTTGCCTGGTCTAATGGATGTATATAGCATCGATACTTTTTAATTGTAAAGTTTTTAAAGTCAGAGTAAACCATTTTCCGAGCTAAGTATGAAAATGGATTTTTTCGCGCTACGGTTGTAGTAGCCCGAATGTAATCATGTGGCATGTATTTCAGTTCTTTCTCAATTCTGGAATATACGCTGTCACGCTCCATTTGAGTGTGACCGGAAACTAGAAATTTTTGTATTATTTCTCTGTTGTTCTCAACGGCAAATGCCAGCAGCGCATTCGAAAATATTGAGTTCTTATTTTGATACGTGCATCCGTCTATCTCCTATCTATCTAATCAGCCTTAAACGCCCACTCTTGGGCATAGTCCTCCCCTGTCGTTCTCTTAAGGTCGTCAGTCCATCTCATCTGTGGTCTTCCTCTTTTTCTTTTCTTTTCCCATGCATGTTCTCCAGTGTAGAATTCGCTTATTCCATCTTTCATCTTTTTGCCGGAGAGTGTGACCGACGAAGTTCCATTTAAGTTATGCAACCTGTCTTCCCTTCGTCATCGTTCACCATTGTTTTTCCGCTGATCCATGAGTTTATTTTCCTGTCTTTAAGACCGATACCCAGCATCTGTCTTTCCATCGCTCTTTGTGTTTTGGATATCCTGTCGATGTTCTCCTTTGTGAAAGTCCATGTTTGTGAGCCATATGTGATAACTGGTAAAATACACTGATTGAATACTTTCGTTCGCATATATTGAGGGAACTTTTTATTTTTTTAGAATATATGATAGACCCATGCTAGTCTAGTTCTTCTTTTTATTTCTTCTGTTTGATTGTCCCTGTTCAGCTTTATTATCTGTCCTAGGTATATGTATTCTGCCACCTGCTCTAATTTATTTTGTTTGACTACTATTTCTAATTGGTCTTCTTGGTTTGTCATAGTCTTGGTTTTACTATAGTTCATCTCTAGACCTACCTCTGTCGCTTTTCTATCTAGTTCCTCAACCATCTTCTGTAACTCTTCCTTCTTATCTGTTATCAGGACTATATCGTCTGCATATCTCAAGTGGTTCAAGAGCTCTCCATTTATTCTTATTCCGTATGTATCCCATTCCAATTTTTTAAATATGTCTTCCATAGCCTGATTGAACAATTTTGGTGATATTGTGTCTCCCTGCCTGATTCCTCTTTCGAATTTTATTGGTTCTGTAGCGTGTTCGTTCGTCAATTTTATTGTGGTACTCGCCTTTTTGTATATGTTTGTTATTAGGTCCGTGTACCTGTAATCAATTCTGCCGTATAATGGGATTTGATACTCGTCCGACTTTTCAATCAGTATTTTTACTGGTAGCAGATGGTCGCTAGTACTAAAACCCTTTCTGAATTCCGCTTGTTCTCTTGCTTGGTATTCGTCAAGCTTAGTTGTTAGTCTGTTTTTCATGATCTTCGTTAGTAGTTTAAATACAAAACTTAGTAATGTTATAGGTCTGTAGTTTTCTAGGTTCTTTCTGTCACCTTTTTTGAACATTAATAGTGTCTTTGCATCGTTCCAGCTATCGGGTATTTCTTTTATGGTCAATGTTTTGTGAGGATATGTAGGACTTCTCTAGTTGTTTTCCCTCCTCTCTTCAGGATCTCTGTCTGCAGTTATTCCATCTTTTCCAGGTGACTTATGGTTTTTTAATTCTTGAATTGCTTTCTTGATTTCTGTTTTACTTATTTCTGGTTGTAGGTCAAAGTTTATATTTTTTATTTTTGTGTTTAATTGTTTAAGAATTTCTTGCAGTGGTTTATGTCTTGTTCTGTATAGGTGCGTATAGTATTCTTGTGTCAACTTTATTATTTGTTTCATATCATTAATGGTTGTTCCTTCGCTGTTTGTCATTTCATTTATCTGAGTTTTACCGAGTCGTTGTTTTAAGCATTTCATATTTTTGTTCTGCTGGATTACTCTTTCAATCTTTGCTTCCTGCGTTTTTCTCTTGGTTTCTTTTATGTTTTTTCTAATTGTTTTATTAATTTCAGTATATTCTACTGTGTTTCTTTTGCCCTGTTCAAGTAGGCTTCTTCTTGTCTTCATCAGGTTTTCTACTTCTTCTGAGATATAAGTGTCCTTTTTTGTCGTCGATTTTGCAATTCTTTCCCCGGCCTGTAGCAATGTAGTTGTTAGTATTTCATTTATTTCGTTTGTTTCTTTATTTATTAAGTCGGTTGTATTTGGGATGCATTTTTTTATTTCTTCTTTGTACTTTTCTTCGTTTTGGTTAAGTTTCTCCATATCTAGTTTTTGTACGTTTTTGATTTACTTTCGGGTTTCAAATTGGCTGTTAATTTTTATCTTAGCCTTCACCATTCGGTGATCGCTGCCTGTTGTGAAACGGTTTAGCACTGTGACATCCTTGACTACGTATTTTTGTGTTGATAATATGTAGTCGATCTCGTTCTTAGTTTTGGTGTCAGGGCTTTTCCAGGTCCATTTTCTCTATAGCTTCTTGTTGAAAAAGGAGTTCATGGCGTAGAGTTTCCTTTCCTCCATGTAGTTCATCAGGGTTGTCCCTCTTTTGTTTCGTATATCCGTCGTGCATCCGTCACTGTATAATATTACAGGTCCTGTAACATCCTGGCAGTAGTCTTCTTTATAGGTTAGGATACAAGTTGTAAAAATGGACGCTGTCATGTCTGCTTGAGTCTCGTCAAACCATTTTTTTTTGAGGAAAGATCGAAAACGGTAAAATTATGACTATATAATTTTGTTTTATAAAATATTGCGTTCGCTTGAACCCAAGGACTGATCTTTACAGCTTGTAAGTCCATTGTAACAACTTTACATTTATTTTTCATTGCATCTATCTTATCCTCTTTTTCATCTCGAGCACGATCTTTCTGGGCCCTGTATTTCAGCCAGTCTTTATCATCTTACTAGCATACGTCATGTTTAACACAGGTGTCACA